AAAAAGGAATGAAAGAAGGGGAAAAAACGAGAGAAAAGTGAACGGACCTGCGAAGCAAATGACCGTGCTAATTTGGATCCACGGGAAACTAAGCGAGCCAACCCATACGACGTGCATGTGATCTAATATAGATTCATGGGGGGAAATAAGCGTGCCAACCTATGTGACGTGCACATGACCTGGTCACGTGCGAGAAGATCGGATAAGAAGAGAGAACGTTCACGAATAGAAAGTGCTAGCGCCCTGATGTTTAGATGGACGCTCACGTGCTACACTCCGTTTCGCACTCCACGCAAGGGTCGTGCCGCCCGAAAGACAAGAGGAGAAGGACGCGCAGCGCCTCCGATTCGGAAGGACCCAGCTGCGGCATCGTATGGATGTCCTACCGGCGCCGGGAGAGACGATGCAGCAGACGGTGGGAAGGAGAGATGCAACACACGATCTACTTTTGAAACATCTAAATACAACAGTTGCAACATACTTCTGAAGGTAGTTGAAACACTTGAAACATGCTTCTAAAAGACTTAAAAAAACACCTGAAAACACTTGAAAACCATTGCAACCATACACAAACATCCAAATAAAACACATACAACGTATTGTGAAACATATGCAACATCCAGATAAACACACTTACAACATGCGTCCGGAAAACACAAATGATGAGATGAAACATATCTCTAAAACATGTGAAACACTCGAAACATATGTTTGCAACATGCCTCTGAAACAATTGCAACATATGCAACATCCCCGATCTGCTTTTCCAACATCCATACGAAACAAATGCAACATACATCTGAAACGTCTGAAACACTTAAAACATACATATGCAACTTATCGGAGGGGAAGGCTGGCCGGTCGATTCCGACCACCGGGGTGGGGGGAGCTCGGTCGCCAGGATGAGAGAGGGCACCACCGAGGGCGGGGAGGGCGCCGCGCCGGGGTAGGGCGGAGCCGCCCACTCCCCTGCAACACCGTCGCGCCACCTCCATGGATCTCACCGGGGTGGGGGAGAGGGCCACCAGATCTGCGGGCGTTGTACGCTCTCGGTGGATGAGGGGGCCTTGAGGTGGGGGGGGGGGCCACCGGGGTGGGGAGGAGGACGCCGGAGTGGGGGCGCGCCGCCGCTGGCTGGCCGCCTTGAGCACGAGATGTGCTGCTGGAGGCCTTTGCCCGCTAGCCAGCCCATGAGCTGTCTTGGTCCCTAGCTCCGCTATGGACCCACGGTGTTTTTTTTTTTTTGTTCTAAGAAACTACGGTGGCTCAGCTGGACGAGCGGATAGAAGGTAGTTATTTGGGCTGACTATGCGTCTCATAAATGAAAGCGTCTGGACGGACGGACCGTTCACGAATGGCTCACCTGACGAAAAAATGAATCCAGCGTAGTAGGACAGAAAAGGAAAGAAATGAGTCCGAGGGAGTGTTCGCTGGATCGAAGGCGAGCGGACGACCTCCAGTCTGCAATTGGGAAATGCATACATACATATGTACGATCTTCTGTAGACCATAGCTCGTTCTTTCAGTGATCCAGTTAAGCAGCAAAAAGAAAAAACATCTCTGGACAGTCAGGTCCAGTCCTAAGAGCTCAGCCGCGGCGCTCCTGCCGCTGCCGCCCGCTCCGCAATGCCACTGGCGGCGGCGGGCGATCCCTTCACGCAGGCCTCGTCGGAGTGGTCGGACACCACGTCGTAGCCACGGCTGGTCACGTTCCGGAAGTAGCACGCGTCGGAGGCCTCGTACCTGTACGTCTGGCGCGCGCCCACGACTCCCGGACGGCTTCCCCGTCCTCGAAGTCCACGTCCCTGGCGCACTCCTGCGAGTTGCTCAGCGACCGGGACCAGAACCCCGACCGGCCGGCGGCGACGCGCTCCTCGCGGAACCCCAGCCGCACCTTCGTCGCCGCGGTGAACGAGTCGAAGTCAGTTTGGTTCACCACGCCCACGAACTTGTACAGCGCGAAGTTCTGCTGCGCCTCCTGCGCATACAGCACGCCGGCGTGGTTCGCGACGTGGGCGGCAGAGTACGCGTCGGTGGTCTGGCTCACCTCCGGCCGGAAAAAGCTGTCGCGGGAGCGGATGGTGTTCTCGTACCCGAGCCTCTGCGTCCACGTCGCCGTGAACTTGCCGTACGACGGCGTCTGCACCCACCCGGAGGCGGAGACGTGCCGGAACGCCGTCGTGTAGTAGAGCCCGTTGTCGGGGCCCTCGGGCAGAGTCGCGGTGGCCGTGTCTAGGGGCGGCGCGTCGTAGCTGACCATGCCCGCCGCCGCGGCCGTGCCCCTGGGGTCCAACCAGAGGTGGAGGTTGGCGTCGACGAACCACGTGTCCATGGCGTTGGTCACCGTGAACGCGACCTCGTGCTTCTCGCCGTCCAGGAGCTTGCCGAGAAAGGCCGTGAGCTCGATGTCGTAGGACGGGAGGTTGAACGAGCCGATGCCGGTGATCGGTCGCCAGAGCAAGGGGTTAATGCCGCCGGTGTAGACCACGGGGAACGGCCACACGACGCCGACCAAGTCGCCGTCGATCTGAACTCTGACCTCGCGGAACGGGCCGGTTCCGGCGCTGTTCTCGTACCAGAACTCGTCGTCAGAATGGTAGGAGAGGTACACCTCGAGAACGGCACGGTACGTGTTGGCCGGCACCGTGACGCTCGCGGTTGCGACGTCGAAGTCGTTCTCGATCTTGAACCACAGGCCGTCGTTCAACGGGAGGCTCCGCGATAGCGGAACGACGGCGTCGGCGGGGCCCAGCCCGGGCTGCGGCGGCGGCGGCGGCGGGTGGCGGAAGTAGAGGTGTAGCGTGACGTTGGCGTGGAAGACGCCGGTGTACTGCTGGTCGACGATGTTGCCGAGGTACACGGCGAGCGTGGTGGAGTCGCAGGCGGCGAGGAGCGACGCGTACTTGGTTACGTCCTTGGAGACCGTCCAGTCGACGCCGGCGCTCTGGATGGGCGGCTCAGCGGTGCATCCGCGGAGGAGCTCGGCGCCGCCTAGCCACACGCCGAAGACGCGGTCGTACTGGACGCCGCGGCACGTCGCGCGCCACTCGAGCACGGCGAGCGAGATCGCGGACGCGCGGCCGCCCGCCGCCGCCAGGCATGGCGGCGGCGAGTAGGGGGCCGTGGCGGGGGGCTTGGCGTAGGTGTACGCGAAGGAGTGCGAGAGGAGCAGCGTAGAGCACGGGCCGAAGCTGCCCGGCGGCGGCCGGTGCGGCCGGTCCACCTCGAAGAAGACGGTCGGCTGGTCCAGCGAGGGCGGCCGTGGCGGCGCCACCGCTTCGATCGCGGCGACGTCGGAGGCAGAGAGACGGATCTTGTGAGGAAGCGAAGCCACGGAGATCGGTACAACGGAAGCCATGAGAAAGACGAGGAGGAACGGCACGTAGGAGCTGGCCATGGCTGGTGCCTTGGGTGGAGGAGGGCGAGAGAGAGGCCGCAGGTGCTTTGGCGCGCTTCTTGCAGTGGAGGGGATTTAAATAGGGCGGTAAAGAGTAGAAGTGAAGTAGAGCGCACTCCATTTGCAGGGACCATGCAATGCTCTTATTCCCTGACGGAGTGACGGTAAATTGGACTGCAAGTCACACAGCGACACTTGGCCTCGCTAATTGAGGTAATGGGGGTAGTTAAATGTTTAATCAAGTTTGGATTGCAAGTTTAACTTAGCATGGGCCAGTGAAGTTAACTAGTAATACAGACAGCTGCTGCAGGGGCATTATGATTTGGTGAACTACTAGTATGATATTTACATGAAACCGAACATTAGCTATGTTCTGTACTTGTGTATGGCTCAGATTACTACAAGGTTTACAAGAATGGGCGCCGGAAAATCAGTAGCATACGCATTCCCAGAAGCCTGAAGGCCCTGTGATCATGTTCTATCTACTCTGGCTGAAATGCAGGTCCTACGCAGTTGTTGGATGAAGCATATTTGTAGGCTGTAGAAGTCCTCTTTGGCCTATCTGAAGTGATGGCTGACTGAGAGGCAACTTTGCCTTGCTTTGCTTTGGGGACTGGCTGCTCTAATGACTGAGATTCTCCACTCTTTGATTGGGATGGTGCGCCAGTAACAAGCGTTCAGGGCCCACGCTACCATAGTTGCTAAAATCTGTGATTTTACAATAGAAATTTACTTCTTTAGGATCTTAACTAAGGAGCCTGATTCTACAATCCTAATCAATAGACTACCGCACAGGGATCTTACATCACCACCAGCACATACATCATCCCTGCATGGCATCCATCCATGGCTTTGGGACCAGCTGGTCAAACCAGCCATGGGAGAGGCCAAGAGACGACCCAAGTGATTGACCTCCAGCTCCAAACAAACCTTTGTGGCTCACAGCACAGGTTGATTCCAGTAATAATAATCAGCAGATAAAATTGTGTGATGATAGACTGGTAGCAACAGGACGCTGCTTGTTGCCCCCCACACACCAACACAAAATCCCATTGCATTTGTAACTACACAGGAGCGAAAAGTTGTCAAAAAATTGTTAGGAATGTCTGGTACAATTAAATGCCACTTCAAAACTAGCTCAACATAGAAGGGCAGACAACATAAAGCAGAAAAGAGATGACACAGGAACTGAATCTACTTTTGGATTTCTGATAACCTGATGTATGATACAACTCACTCTATACAGAGGCATACACAGCCAGCCTAACCTGGTTGCTCCAAGGCAAACTGGAAGGTGAAACGTGTGAAACAATCCTCTTCAGATTTTTTTTTCTAAAAATAAGAGGCATGTATGAATAGGGCATCTCTACATCTGCAACGGTGCAAAAAATTGTGGCCAAGACTGAAGACAGTTGCTGGCATAGCCATTATGAACATGGGCAGGAGAACCATCTTCAGATCAGTGAGTCGTATCGCGCTATTCAGATGAACTGCGGCGTTCTCCATATGCAGGCATGGTGTAATCCTCACTCACATGAGTAGATGAGCATGGTGTGTGCTTGGCCACCATTCATCAACCATTAAAATGAGATAGCTATGTATGTCAGAAAATTATCTTCTTCAAAATCAGAAGTACTATCATGATGAAGATCAGAATGACAAGGACAGTGGCACACATCACCATGCCCCCTTTCTTCTGGGTCCTCTCAGCCTGCAGAACAGACGGACCAAGATATTAGACCACAAGTGAAGCAGCTACTTTTCTTTATTTCAAGCAACGCTATTGGGTTCTGTAAGTGAAGCACACATGATGATCATAAAGGCACAAGAAAGTGCCTGCAGTAAGCAGTAAACTGAAGCCTGAAGGGTTGGTTAAAAATTTAGTAATTTACAGCCCCAGTCGTGGAAAATGACATCTTTTACAGACATGGAAATAAAGGCAGGGTGGTATGGTTTAATGACAATCAGGATATTTCGAGATAATATACCAGCTAAAAAGGTGAAATATTTGAATCGCATGATTTCCACCGACGGCAAAATATTATGGGTACCCTGAAGGCATATATAACAAAAGACCAAATCTCTACACACCTATCATGCTATTCAAAAAAGCAACCAAGCACCATACAGCTTAAAGTCCTACCAGCAGCATAAAGGCTTGGTTCATCATTACTAAAGGTCCATTGTTACAGAAATGTATACAGCGGAAACATTAGTGAGGGTAAATATGATTTGAGGATGAAACCTTTTGCAACTGTTTGTAACCCTCCTCAACTGAAGCAGCAACGTTCTGTATGTTGTAGTCTATCCGATCGATGATGGTTCCCTGTTTGAAGTAAGAAATCAAGAGTCTGGTCCCAACTAGTTATCTAAAACCAATATTGACAATTAATCAGGGTTTCATATACCTGATCAATCACAAGAACTGAAAGATCCTTCATGATCTGTGCAAGTTCGTTGACTGATTCAACAACCTTCAAGCCACAAACAATAATAAACAGACTTCAGAACATGTGCTGTCAAAAAGAGAATAAAAATGCGGTTGACAGAACCATCAGAGAAATAAAGAAAAACTCACCTGCTCAATTTCTCTCTCCCTTTCTCTAGTGAACGCTTCGCTTTTCTTAAGTTTTGACATCTGAAACTCAGTGAAACCCTAGTAACAAAATACAATTATGAATTACATCAATAACTTAAACTTTAAAGAACTAGTTGCACTTCTCATCATCTGTTGGTCTGGATCCCAACAAGTATATTCTTAACACAATAAATTCAAATTCAGCCAAATCTATCATGCATGGATAATAAAAATTCTAAAAAGAAAGAAATGAAATACTGACACAATAAAGGATAGATAGTGCCGAAGAATTTCCTAAAGCATCATTGCAGGACTATACTCTGGATGGTGAATGCATGGTTGTGCTGTTATGTTTAATTGGGCCAATGTTAATTGCTACAACAAGATAAGGAAGTAAAAGAAACTTCTTGCATTTTACTCACATATATCATATACAGCATATATTACTAGTCAAGTGCCCATCTCTTACAATGGGCCTCAAATAACGATACCACAGCCTCTAATGAAACGGAGTGCACCATGCACTTTTCAATCAGTTCAAAGTTGCTAGGCAAAAGGACCAGGTACTACCCAGGTGCTTGTCATAGTATATAGCTTAGTATCCAATCTTATTCTCCATTCATAATCTATTTTATGCTATCCAAAGCAATGTGTTTGCAGCCAAACGAAAAAATGTGTGTGGTAGGGTGGGAAGTGTTCTCTGTACACAGATGTGGATATCAACAGTGCTAATATAAGGTTTCAGGGAGGCATAATACAGAGTTATCCATTTCCACAGACAAATTTAATATCAGCATCCAGCCCCAGCCACAGCCACAGCATCAAGGAGGAGGAGAACTGAGTTACCCATAATGGAAACCCGATTCAAAGACTGAATTATGAACTGTATAACTAACCCAAATAAACAAACACCAGTGCACATAAGGCAGAACTTTGTCGTTACTATTTTGTCTTTTACCTGTAATTTTTTTGGATTTTTCTATTTATGCATAAAGAGGGAAGCATGTCCTGTCAAGAAAATGTTTATTTCACTAGTATGGAAGTCACAAGGAGTCCCGGAGAGTGAGCAAGTGTCGAATAAAGATTTTCCCCCTTGAACATGCAGGAGAGCTTTGTGTCATTTCATTAAGATAGAAAAAGAATTGTACAAATGTACAAAGAAAGGGGGGAAAACACATAAAGCCTCTCCCAAACACACTCCTCTTGTTAATATCTACTATGCGGCTAACATCCCATATCTAATAAAGACTGACTCATAGTGCATTAAATCTGACATAAGTTACTATAGGCACTCCTCATGCTAATATCAAATATGCAGAGACAAAAAGAATCACCAGAATCAAGCATGTAAAGACCAAAATAAAACATACCACATCGTCAGACTCATCGTCTTCAAATGTAGACTTCGTCCCATTTATATTCATTTCCAAATCAACACCATCCTGACCCTGCAAAGGTATTCGTCAACAAAGATATCAGTCAGGGTTGGACAAGCATTCTATCAGCACCTAATTATCTGATGATGCCAACAGAAGGGAACCTCTTTTTGTTGGCGAAGCTGCTTTAAATATGATGACTGCTTTTTCCGGAACTCCATTGACAGGTTTTGCAGGTCTGTAGCAAGAGAACGCTGCACATAACAGCCAGGGGTATTTGTCCATCAAACAGGGAAAAAAAAGAACAAACTGTCACTCTTTAACTTGTAACTGCCAATGATAAATAAGGTTCTATCATCACCTGGACATTCTTTCGGACATTTGAATCCTCTGACGAATCTTTCATGGACAGCTTCTGCAGCCTCTTCTCGGACCTCTTGAGCAAGTCCGTTACCTCATGTGTGAGAACCTCAATTGCTCGTTGGTCATCTCTGCCATCGCCAAAGGATGGCATCAAGGCTTTGGCATGTGCCTTAGCCAGCTCCGCCATTTTTGTCCTTGCCCGCTGCATGTTTGCAGATATCTCTTCGGAAACATCCACCCAGGCTGGGGGTAGCCCGACTGTCACAGCGCCTCTACTGAAACACAGAAACCAAATGTCAAACACCATTACAGCTTACTGCCTAAGCCACTGATCACTGATCAACATGCTATAACAAGTCTTCCATTCGCTCGATCTAGTGGTGGAAATCCATATCCCCAGTAAGGCTACACAGGTCGTTGCCTCCTAGCAATTAGCAAATACGCAAAGGCTAGACTAGATCAGACAAGCTAGTGAGCGAGTCTAGTGATCTGCAATTCAACCAATTCATTTGAGTCGCCAGTGAATTAGCTCACTCTACTCGTTAGCATGGTCAAATGCCTCTCGATCTAGCTGAGAAACTCCCATCTCGCAACCCCGCGTCGCAGCTAGCAACCTCTAGTGATCCCCAAACGGCACAGAGACCAGACGAGATGCGAGGGGGGTGTTGTGAGTTGGAGGTGGTGGCACCTGGAGCCAGAGGGGTCTTCCGTGCTGAGGGGCGCGTAGGGGCGGTCGGAGAGCAGCAGCGAGGCCATCTCGATCACTGGCCCTCCCCCGCCCCCGCCCCCGCCCCCGCCGGACGACGACGGCGCCCCGGCCGGCGCGCGGACGTGCCGCAGCGCGTCGCGGTACTTGCGGTAGAGCGGCGTCCGGTTCCGCGTCGCCATGCCGCGGGCGCGGGCGCGTGAGATCTCGACGGCGAAGGCGTTTAAGTGATGGCTCGTGAGGAGGAATTGGAGAGTTGGTGCGCGACGCCGTGGGGGGAGGACACGGTGGCGTGGGAGTTGAGGGAGGGGGGACTTCTCTCTCCTTCACTACCAAGGAAACAATGGCGCAATGGAACGCGCGTATTGGGCTGCTTTTTTGGGCCTTCCCAGATTCAGCTGGATCGTGCACAATGGCGCAATGGAACGCGCGTATTGGGCTGCTTTTTTGGGCCTTCCCAGATTCAGCTGGATCGTGCACTTCCGCTGTTAAGCATTGGGCTGGGCCGTGATTGCACATTGCTGGTCTGCTGCGACAACTGCAAGCTTGCTCTTTTTCACATGCTTTTGTGGGCTGGGTACCTCCGTAGGGGCATGTTCGGTTCATTAGTCCAGGGAGACTAAAACAGGGATTAAACTTTAGTCCCTAACCTTTTTTGGTTCAAAGGATTAAATGAGACTAAAGACTATTAAGGCAGTTGAACAAAGATCAAAACGCCCCCCTTCTCCTCTTCCCCTGCCACCATCGTCGCTCCTCTCCCTCCCGATCGTGCTCTCCGAGAAGCTCACCAGTCGTCGAACGCCCCCCCTTCTCCTCTTCGTCGAACACGTCGGCATCCTCGGACACGCCCCCCACGGGGAGCTCCCAGATCCACTAGCCACGACCACCGCGGAGAGCTCCCAGTGGGGGCAGGGCGGCGCAGGGAAAAGAGGGGCGCGGCGACGGTCACGACCTCAGCTCCGGTGGCAATGTCGGAGATGGCCGGGGTCCTGGGGGCAAGATGGCTCAGCGTCCTCCTCCCTTCATCTCAACCGAGAACTACAGCAAAGAGAGGGACAGAGGGAAGGAGAGGGCGAGGCGGAGGGAGCAGGGGTGGCGTTCGTGGGGTGTGGGCACAGCGGCGAGGAAGAAGCAGGAGGAGGGAGGGAGCCGCGCGCCGCGTGAGGGAGGAGAGAGAGGGAGGGGGCATGGGCTGTCCTTTTGGGCTAGTAGTCCCAAATAGCCACCCTTCAAGGGACTACATGACTAACCCACTTTAGTCCCTCTTTTTAGTCCCCCTGTTTGGCAATTTACGGACTAAAATGGGATTAAAATGGGGGACTGCTGAATAGTCCCATGAAACCAAACATGCCCTAAGTCTATCCTGTTCGACGAAATTGTTTTGGGCCACATAATCGTCTCCTTAGAACTGAATTTTAGAGCGACATGATTTTTTTTGAACGAAAAACGTGGGCAAAGAATCCCCCCTAGGCGGCTTTAGAGCGACATGATTGAACTACGAAATATTCCCCTCTGGCTAAACTTGTCATTCAGGACAAGATTTGGTTAAATCTTATTAAAACTAAAATCATCAATGACTATTGTATTATTTAGTTTACGTTCTACCTCATTTTCTAAATTATAAGTCATTCCGACTTAACTTTTGCTACGCATCTAGAGATACACTATATCTACGTGCATAGCTTTGTTATGTACATAGAGAAACCAGAGCAACGCCTTATAGTTTGAAACATATGCAGACAACGCAAAGCCAAATATGCTCATTATTTTCTGACAACTCTTTTGTCTGATTCTATAAGGCCTTTGTTCCGTTGTAAATCAATCTAAGGGGTTGGAGGATTTTGACTTGCTAGGGGTTTAAACCCTCTCAATCACCTCCAACCTTCGTTAAACGAAGAATAACCGAACAAAGCCTATAAGAAAACAAATACGTTCATTATTTCGTTTTCAGAACTGATCTGGTGCTGCCCGGCCGCTTGGATCTGTACGCCGACGAAGATATTTGCGCAGGGGCAGGGACGACCAAGGGCCAACTGCAATGTGCGGCGACCTGGTGCTCGATCTCGTTGGCTGGCGCTGGCGCTGGAGTGGATCGGGATTCATTTCGGGGCACCCCATGTGTGGCGTCGTCCTCAGCCCTCGGCCCTTCACCAACCACCTACAGCCTCGTCCTGTTGTCTCATTCGCTCACCCAGCGCCGCAGCTGGCCCGAGCGGAGTGCAGCAACTGCAGGTGCAGGGCGTCCTTTCTCTTTGTTACTCCTGGCCCGGCCGTACTGTACTGAACTGGCACCGTCCCATGACAAACAAACCCCCATCTTTTCACTCGGCCAAGCGAAACAAACGGCCAGGGACGAGGGATGGGATCTCACGCTCCCCTTTTTTTACTGCCGACGACTGTGACCAGTACATAACCGCCCTACCAGCACATGCTAGCTGCCTAGCCCTAGGTTCACACAGTTCAGTCAGAGTGTCAGTGACTGCCTGTCCCAGTGTCCCTTGTGTTGCCTGCTGCCGGGCAACAGTTTGACTGCTGTGACAGGATCGGACACGCACATCGGCACATCATCCAGGCATCCAGCTGAATGCTTTGCTCTTGCTCTGCCCCAGCGGGCTGCGGCTGTACATGAAACGAGACCAGTGGAGCGGAGCGGAGTGGAATTGAAGCTTAGCTCCAGGTGCGCTGCGCACTCGCGCTCGTGACGCGAGCATGGTAGTACTCACTGATGGCGCAGCCCTGCTGTAAGCCGTGTCGTATTAGCCAACTAATTAATGGCACTCAACTACGCCTACAGCGGCCGCAGGCCCGTCGTCTCACGGGTTGCCCGATCCCTTTCACTTCAGCGTGTGAGCTCTAGCCTCCAGCTCCCTTCCATCTGCGCGCGCGGTCACGGTCAGAGCCCTTGTCCCTTGACCTCTATTACTCACCACTGCTGCAATGCATAGCGATGCTCCAGCCACGCTTGCATCAGGAACAGGAGAACAGCTAGCGATGCTCCTGTACACTGTACCAAACGAAACTGACTCGCTAAACCCGGGCGCCGTCGGTCTCTGGCTGTCACAGGGAGGGACCAGCAGGATTAACTAGCGTCACTAAACTAATGGCGGCGGTCGGCCGGCCGGTCGAGCAAGACAAGCAGAGGGGTCAGGACAGGCAGCAGGGAGAGCTCTGCTCGGCGGAGGATGGAGGGGGGAAGAGTGGAAGACAGGCGGCGGGCGGCGGACGGACCCGTACGTGGAGTGGACCAGAGGTCCGGAGGTGTGGGGAAAGCGCCCATAACTTCCAAAGGACGGCGTCAGCTTTTCGCGTGGTCCGCCTATTGGAGTTTGGACCAGGACCGCGCTGCGTTGCACTGCATATTTGCATGCGCCGAGGGCCGCGGGCGATCGTTCCGCGGTGGACTCTGGACTCGGACGTGCGTCCGTGCGCAGCCTCGTCTCGTCTGCTGGCTGGGCCTGGGCGCCGATGCCCGGTGGAGCCTTTGGTGTTGCCGTGTTGGTGGTGCCTGGCAAGTGGCAACGTGGTGGCTGATCAAGAAGAGTGAGGTTCGGAACTGGAGTGGCTCCAAGGGCAAGCTGCTAGTCCCAGCGTGTCAGTGTGAACCTGAAAAACAGGGCAATGCTCTTGTGCTCATGAGTCACTAGTTTTTCGGGCGCGTCCATGCGCGCGGTCCACTGGCCACACGTATTTTTTGAAGAAAAAAAAGATATAATCAAAGTTGGGCTGTATTTTGATTTGAGAAAAATCTGAGGATGTTTTCGCAAAAAACGGTGAGAGTGTCTGGGGAGCGTGAGTTGATTTTCGATAAAGTGGAGGTCTTTTTTGCAAACAAACCAATGCCCATCCGGTCTGGACTGAGCGTTGATTTGGAAATAATACGAGGCGTTTTTTGTAAAAATTTCTGAGAGTACGTCTGGAGCGCGGGTTAATTTCCGAAAACTTAAAGGGGTTTTTCGTAAAATGACTGCGGCTCGCCCGATCTGGGCCGTCCGCGCGGCCGATCGAACGGCCATGAAAAGCCGACGACGTGGCCACCCTGAGGCCGCGCCGTGGCCACACCAAATCATATCTTTAGATGACCGCGACAAAAAAATCCGTAAAAGTAGAACTGGCAATAGTCACTGGGTGTCTGGGCCCCATAAAAAGAAAAGGCATAATAGCTATTTTTTTTGTCCCTCGACTATTATTCGAGGCCCAGTTTCGTCTCTGAACTTGTAAAACGATCGTTTTAGTCCTGAAACTCTATTTTTAGGCCCAATTGCATCTAGAACTATGAAGATGATCGTTTCAGTCCTCAAACTTTGCATTTTTGGCTCAATTTCATTTATAAACTATCAACGTGTATTTTGTTCTTTAAACTTTTATTTTCAACTCAACTTTGTCTACGTTCTACATGGAACGTTGTACCGTTGCACCTGATTAGCTCCAACACCACTAACGATTGGAGATAGAAAATAATATACATCCAAAAACTCTTTCGTGGCCATTAATAATTTCAAACTGTTATTTTTAGTGTTACCTTATAATGGTACCACTTATATATATGTGACTAAATAATATTTGTGGGAGCAATTACAGTTGCATCGAACACTGTTTATTCTTTAAGAATACATGGATATATTGAAACAATAGCAAATCTATAATTTTGATAATTTTATGGATGAAATTGTGCCTAAAATATAAAGTTTTCTTTTTAAATAGACAAAATTGAGTTGAAAATAAAAGTTAAATGCATTTTGATAGTTTATGGATGAAATTGAGCTCAAAATACAATATTTGAGGACTGAAACGACCATCTTTATAGTTGTAGGATGAAATTGAGCCTAAAACTAAAGTTTGAGGATCTAAACAACTGTTTTGAAAGTTTAGGAATGAAATTGAGCCTTAAGTAATAGTTAAGGGACCAGAATAGCTACTGTGCCTTAGTTATAGCCTGTTTCTTTTTCTTTTCTTTGAAAAGAGTGGCAAACTAGTGGACAACCTCAGTCTGTAGAACAGTACTAGTGCCTGGACCTCTAGCTGTGACGACTGACAACACAAACAGTAACCCGTTTTTATTGGCGATGGGCCATGTGTAAACCTGAATCGATGCAATGCAATGCAGAGCCGTGCACTCTCTACCGTACACAAGCTGGATCATTTCACTCGACACAGGCCTCTGCCTGGCTGCATGCTCCCCTCG